TGAGACCGGACGACCTACAAGTTTGTATCCTGCCCTGGCAGCTTTCGTTAGTTCTCGCGAACTAACCGCGATCTCCCTGTTTTCCATTGCTAATCCGTCGACACGTCCATGACCAGTCCCCGGAACTGCGACGAATCCGGTAGCTTTCCCAAAAAAAAAGAGCGCCGAGGTGAGAGGAGCACCGAAGTGGAGCCACTGAATCTTTCATGGGGTCCGTCAGGTGACCGCCCCCTCCGCGATGGGATCGGTTCCACGTAGAGAAAGCGACGTTGCGTTCCCTTTCGAGGCTTGGACACGGGACAGGTGATATCATCTGGGATCTGTATGGCAGGGGTCAAGGGGCTAGGGGAGCCACTTCCGGCTTCCACACGACTGCGTAGGTAGTAGAAAAGGGTTGGGGGAGGAGATCTATGAAGAGGAAGTAGAGTCGGTGTTTCCAGGGAGATGTGGGTGGGGGAAGGAGGTGGACGTTCCAGGGACGGTGGCTTTCTCGTGTGAAGGTTCCTCACCGCACGGAGCCGTGTATTGATGGTGTTCGATCCCAAGAGAACCGGTTTTGCAAGGATTTTTCTCGTTGGGGTCTTTAGGTTGCAGAAAGCGAAAGTATTGACAGGTCGTATGTTCACCTTTAAAGTGGTTCCTGTTGAGATTAATTACAGTCTCCGCGTCCTACGATCAGCTATATTTATCACACCTGAAAGGATAGAGCCGAAGAGGAAGACGAGAGAAGTATTTTGCACGCGGACGAATCCACCCTTGAAACAGGGAGCAGGCGCTACGTCGCCTCCTAACCCGCCTAACAATGAAAGGCGGACGACGGATGGCGTTCAGATCTGGTAGCGAATAGGGAGTCGAGCGGGGCCTCGTCGGCTGTGAGGGCGATATTCGGGCCCCCAATCTGTGCCGGCACAGCCGTTTTCAACTGCGCCTGTTCCTTTGCTGGCGCTGCGGCTCTGCTTCCTCCCTTCGATTCGGCTTCCGATGTAAAGATGAATACAGCCCGTGACGATGCGGATCGGCCACGGCGAACGGCCACGTGGCGCTCACATGGCCGCTCCCATGGCCGCTCCCGACGTCTCCACGGAAGGGTGCAGTCACTTGTTCATTCTTGCATCCCCTCCAGTGGGTCGTGAATAAAGGAACGGCCTGGCGGGGACCGTGCAACGGATGCAGAATATTAATCCGCCAGCGACGATTTTCGAATGCATAAGCACTCCCGATGGAACTTATGAAAGAGCTTCCTTCCGCCTTCACTTCGTGTAGGTCTAATGAGAAGACATATCACCCTGTCAGAATTGACGCTGGTCGGCGTTTCTTTCCTACTTGAAGGCGCCGTTGCTCACGACGAGTCGATCTCGTCCTCATCTGGCCCCTCTCGGTCAAAACGGCATGAAATGCAAATACCTCTTCCACTTGGCAGATACGGACTGCTGGGTCCCAGCGGCTGCGGGAAGACCACGCTGCTGAGCTGTATCGTCGGAGGTCTTCGACTCGACCGGGGTGAGATCCTCGTGTTCGGAGCCAGACCCGGCGACCCGGAGTCCGGGGTCCCTGGGAGCACTCTCGGCTACATGCCACAGGTGAGTACCGAATCCCCGTCTTGGGATGGTGGAGGTTAGTGGAGAGGAAGTGGGAGGAAGTTGGGGAAGTGGTGGGGGAGGGGGGATGACACGGCGGGCAAGGACGTTCCTCCAGCTATCGCCTCGATCGCCAAAGGCGATCCTTTCAAGCTCATAAATTTCCTTCTGGTTACGTAAGCCCTGGTTTTTGTATGCGGAGTGCGTCGCGACTTTTTTTTTCTAACGTGCACCTCCGTCATATTCCATTCCGATCGCCATGCCAATATCCATTATCCCTTGGTTATGGGATACGGCCGATAATCTTACGCACTCGAGTTTCCATTAAGGCGCAGCGACTCGATGGTATCGGGCGGAATCGGTTGGTTGAGGCAGTTTCAAAAAAATGTTTAGGATCTCGGAAGACAAGCAATATGAACTCCAATCCACTTCCTCGTTTCGCAAGCATCGCAGGTATATAAAAAAAAAAGGGGGGGGGGGACCTCTATTATATTCTTCGACGTTTTTAATGCACGAGATGCACCTGGTGATCACAGGAAAGGAAAAATCTCCATTCCCTCGTTTATTGCGACTGTTCTAGAGCCCCATCAGGGGTGAGTTATTCGAGGTATAAAACTAAAAGGGAAAATGGAGACACAAGGAAGTTGCTTCCCGTTTCCCGATGAGGGAGCGCGGAATTTCCTCGCCGACTTCCGTCCACGTGAGACCGGGGGAGGCGTTGCGTGACCCCTCTGCACGTTCAGGGAGACACGGATTCGGTCCCTTCACGGTCAAGGAGATCATGCTCGACGGCTTCCCTTTCGTGCTTCGCTCCCGTATGCATGCATGCTCTAGTAAATAGTGGCAATTATCGAGAAATGACGGTAGAAACCGAATTCTTTTTAATAAAAAAAAATTTAAAATAATGAAAGGATTTGCAGGGATGCAACGCGGAAATGGCAATTGCCCTGTGCAGTTGATTTGATTTGTTCGCTGGAATGAATTGTAGTTTAATGAAAAACCAAATCGCAAGCTCCAAATCCCTTCCCGCGATGCTTGCATTTTCCAAATATTTTCGGGAACCATAAGTAGTTTGGCATACTCTTAGCTATAGGGTCGAACATGGACTAATGAAGGGTTAGTTAGAAAATATCGTACCCACAAGCAATATTAAAGCAATCTTAAAGCTGCGCGCCCAGAGGCTTGACTAGCGGGCGTCCGTTCCCCGGGTCAGCCCCGCGGCCTCCCGCCGCCATCCACGCCCCCGGAGTCCTGTGAAGTCATCAATCGCTCCCGGAGACCTTGGAGGTTCCATGAATGACCAGGTGCGGCTGGGGCCAGACGCGCGTTGCACTTCACGTTTCCACGCGGCCTTCAGCTCGGCTCACGGCGATGAGGTCGCCGTGTCAACGACGTCGAGGTTATAGGGGCCTTCCGAAATTATACCCGCTCGCATTACTTAATGCAAGTCCAGAAGCTTTGCTCGGCAAAAATAGAGGGTTCCTTCCGACGGAATCGGGCTCCCTGCGGGAAGAATTTCACCAGGGGCCGATTGATGAATAGATTATTAAGCTGGGGCTACTTTTAACCTTGGGCTATCATGTATTTTCTATGGGTGTGATCCCGGGATAAATACCCCGAGTTTAGCTCCACATTCATCAACCAACTCTACGTCACTTATGCTGATCTCGTTTTCCGCTGCCCGATAACCCCGGGCAAGTGCTTCCAAGATTGCCAGTTTTATTGCTGATAGACGAGTTCTTGAGACGGAATGACAACTCTTCCAATGGAGTATCATCTCATTTTTCACTCTGCACGAAACAAAGTATCAATTAAGATGTTTCAAATGTCCATGAGGTATTGTGCCATTGCGTCCTTCGAGAGATTGCCGGCAGAAACGCCCTTAGGCCAAAAAATAAATGCTTTCAGGTTTCGATATTTTTGAGGAGTCTTTTTCAATCCCACACTTGAAAAAAGTATGAGTACATCAATGAAGTATTTGGGTACCTCATTCGGTCTCGAGTGATAAATTAGTAAATCCCAGTCGCTTGGGATATTGCTTTGGAAAAGCGAAAGGAGTGTAAGGGGATCCCATCGCGGATTGCTGCCGCCGATTTAGGATTGCTAAATCGGTGGCGCAAAATCTGCGATGTCGACGTGCTCTGACTCCATTTGATTTCCCTTTTTTTTTCGAATAACGTTTTCAAGTATTCTCACGCAATTGAAATAGGCTTCAGGAAATAATTATTGCAATTATTGCTTTACAAGTTACACAGAGGCGGATCTGCTTCCGCTTTCCATTTTCTTTTTGTGTGGCCCCATTCAGCGCGGAAAAGAAAAACCCGGCGTTGCTTCGACTTTAATCGAGCGAAAACATGAACGGACACGTTCGCGCTCTTTCACGTTCCCGTCGCAGATGTGAAACGTGAATTGCGGTACACGTTCTTAATTAAAAACAATAAAGAGGGAAGCTCATTTCTCAGACAGGTGGCCCGCTCCGACAGTTTGCACCTCTGCACCCGATCTCCGGAGTCGTCCTGGATCGACCGATCTTCGATTCCCCTCGTTTTTAAAGCGTGGGGTAAATTACGAGTCGTGTTCCAAAAGTAACCGGGTCTAGTTTCTCTTGTCCTTTTTTCATCCTGAACACATTTAGCTGGGCGCGCACATAATTTCGTGCCTACGGTGCAGTTCGTGCGGAGAGGTCCCAACAGCTGCTGCAGCCGGAAAACATTGGATGGGTGAAATATTCGGGAAAAAGCGCAGGAAGCGATTTGGCAGTAGACGAGACATGCAGTCAAGATTGACTATTAAATTGGTAACTGTAGACCGTGCGTGTACCCATTGGCATGGGGTTGCACGTGACCGACGCGTGCCAGGCCAGACGCCGCAGCCCCTCGATAGAACCCCCTAATAAAACCTCGACGGAATACAGAGTGGTTTGCTGCTATTACCGGCGATCGCACGACGGAATGATTATTCCCCCTTTGCCGGGGGCTTCCTTACGTCATTGGGGTGGAATGGTGGCTGTCGATGACATAACGCGCGCTTTTTCCTTTTCTTTCCGCCCCCAGGAAGTGGCACCCGAGTCCTGCCATATCCTCGGAGGTGTTGTAACGGCTGGGATGGGACATTGCCCCACCCTTCCATTGTCCCTTTATCTCGACACCCCCGTGTGAATGCTGTGGGGACTGTGCGGCTTGGAGCTGGAACTTGAAATCGCTGGTACTAGTGCTGACTCGGTTTCGAGTACTGGTGCCTGTGGCGTTTTTCGCTGGTTCTGGTCAAGCGTAAAAAAAAATTGCAAATGTCATGGAAAGAATGTTGAACCGTTCACTAGTCGACGGGCCTAGACTGGTTCAAATAGCGTCTGCAGTTAATGGTGCAGACGAGTGATCTGGTAATCTGCAGTTGGCTGAAAGGAGTGAAAACCACCGACTCGGAATGAGCCGGTTACTCGACTTCGAGCGAGATGCCATCATATAGGAAGACATTCTCGCCAAAAAGGAACGTTAACGACTACTGCCGCATTCATTGACCCGACAGCAAGCTTAACGCTTAGCAATTGCCTCGAATGATCCCAGCTCACGTCCAAAATAGTAATGATGACATGGATTTAAATGGTTTCCAGGAAGTAGCCCTGTATCCCGTGTTCACGATCGAGGAGACCCTGCGCTACTTCGGCCGCATCCACGGCATGACCAAGAAGGAGATCAAGGATCGAACGGAGTTCCTCATCGAGTTCCTCGGGCTTCCTCCTGGGAACCGGCGGGTCGATAGCCTCAGGTAATGTCCTACGACGGCCTCGGTTAATGTCCTTCAAGGGCGACCTTGAGCCCGGAAGAAGTCGAGACCCTGACGTAATTGCTGCTTTTCGTTTCCGCCCTTTTTTCAACCTCTTGTTCTCTGTTGAAATTTTTGTTTTACAATCCTAATTTGTTTCCCCGGTGACCTTGCTTTTTTTTTCCCCTTCCGAAGTTCGTGTTCGCGCTCTAACTTCACCTTGCGTGTTCTTCCTCTGATTCCCATTAGCGGAGGGCAACAGCGTAGGGTTTCGCTCTCGGCGGCCTTGCTCCAGAACCCCAAACTCTTGATTCTCGACGAACCCACCGTGGGCGTGGATCCTTTGCTGCGACACAAGTGAGTCCTTCCCCCGCCCTTTCCCGCCTTTCCCACCTTTCTCCGTCCTTCCTCGATTTCCGCTGCACGGATGCCGCTTCCGATCGTTTCAGCATCTGGTGCCACCTGGTGCGTCTGGCGAAGGAGAACGGAACGACTGTGATAATCACGACACATTACATCGAGGAGGCGAGGCAGGCCCAAAAAGTAAGCTCGGCTATCGGCTCTGATATCGCGGCTCCTGGCTCGGATCCATTCCGTTGGGGGTTCCGCGACGATTAGTCTGCAGCCGGGGAGTGAAAGCCTGGCTGCACGCTAGAGTTGGCACGCGGAGAGATAGATGGACGGACGGACAGATGACAGGATGAGGAAGAAGCCACTTTCAAGGGTTGTATTAGTGAAAGTGAAGACTTCTTAGGGAGGAGACACGACCCCCGTTGCGGTGGTCAGGAGTTCAGGGAAACGTTCTTTTACTTTAAAAGGAGAAAACCAGCCCCTTTTTCGTGGGCGAGAATTCTGAAATCGTGGTCTTTATCATTGGAATCTCGATAGCGTGATTCCAATTGGTTCCACTGGAAACGGAGTGGAACTCGTAAGCAGCTGTTACCTGTCACGTCCACCCTGTCCTGACACTCCCGTGGCACTGAACTCGGTGTCGTAACGCTCGCGATCGTAACCGAGATAGTAACCGAGATCGTAACCCGACCGCTGAAGGTCTCATTCATTTTCTGGTGGTTCCTGCCGTAGGTCGGGCTGATGAGGAACGGCTACCTGCTGGCCGAGGCGCACCCGGAGGCCCTCCTGGCGGCCCACAATATGAGCACCCTGGAGGAGGTCTTCCTCAAGCTGTGTCAATCGGTGAAGGGACTCCGGCAGCCGTTGACGAGCGAGACCAAGATGTTCCCGTTACCTGTGAACAATCATTCCAACATCGTGTTCAATGCACCGTCGCGCGAGAGGACGCTGCCCCCGGGCTCGTTGACAAAGTACCACGGCGTGTCGACGCGGGAGTTCCGGCTCATGAGTGTGTGGACGACGGAGGAGAGTAAGCTGGGGAAGCCGAAGGGTGGCGCCTACACCCTGGAGAGGGAGGCCACGGAGACCCGGAAGGGCAAGACCAAGTCTCGGTCCTTCAGCGGGCTCGAGAATCCCAACTTCATCCCTGTCGAGGAAGTCCATCAGGCTTCCAGGGCCTATAATGGCTATGCCAATGGCTATGCCAATGGTTACCCTAATGGTTACCCCAACGGTTATCCCAATGGCTACCCTAACGGTTATCCCAATGGTTATCCCAATGGTTACCCTAACGGTTACCCAAATGGCTACCCCAATGGTTTTCCCAATGCTCACAAGCCTGCTGCCAACGGATCTGCATTCGGCAAAAACAAGGTAGGCTGTCTTCCTCGGCGCACTCGACTGACTTCTACTGACTTGTCATGATTGTCAACTCATGAACATATTTTATGAGAAGAGGGGGGAGGTTTGGAGAGAAGCATCCCCCAAAACATTTTAGTTTAAGCTTAGAATGTCTGCTTAAATGGTAGGTCAATTACGGTTGCAAAAAGAGGCATGAATAGTTCTAGGTATAAATTCAAGGTGAGTTTGAATGGAATTAGATCCCCTGGTATAACTTGCTTTCGTTGCCCGAGCGTTCCACTCTGACGGGAGTATTCATTTTTGAGGAAGGGCAGCGAGGACTTACTGATGCATGACTTCTTTCCCAGCCTTTCTTCCTCCTCTCACTTCCTCATCTTTAATCTCTCACTCGCACACACACGCACACGCGGACATACATCCTCATTGCTATGATTCGAAAAACGGTGACGCAATGCTGCTCACCAATTTCCGTTCTTTTTAAAAAAAAATGTCCCTGGTCTCCTCTCGGCAGCCACACGCGAACGGGGACATGACGTTCCACCAGAAGCACAAGCGGGGACGGCGCCGAAACTACTTCGTCCCGTCGTCTGCCTCCTTGCGGGCTCTCCTAGTCAAGAACATCATCTCCATGGTCCGGAACATGGGAGCCTTGCTGTTCCAGATGGTCCTGCCGCCCCTGCAGGTGATCCTCTTCTGCCTGACGATCGGCTCCGACCCGAAGAACCTCCACGTGTCTGTCGTGAACAACGAGAGCCCCTTCGGGAACTGCTCCTTTGGGGAGTTCTCCTGCGACTTCTTGCACACCATGGACCCGAACATCGTCATTCAGGTGAGGGGCCGTTGGGGTTGCGCTTGCAGGCGGAGGGTGAAATGAAAATAGAATTGGGGAAATGCTGGGAGGATTGGTATCATTTATTGTGACAAATACGTATTAGATGTGTTAGTTTTTTTTTTTTTAAAGGGAAACCTCAAAAGGTAGCCTGACAGGTTTCTTTTTTCAACTTTCCATGTAAGGATTACTAGTGCAAAACGTAGTTGGTGGAAGCACTGACCCACTTAATTATACGCAAAACTTGATTGTTGGAATATAGGGTAGAATTATAATTTAATTCGCTCTCGCTGTAGAGCCTCCATGATGTGACTTTTTAATCCATATATTCTCTATGAAAAAAAAACTTAAATGAAAAGCACCTGTAGTCGTGGGATATGAAGGTCATCGGATCAGCAGAAACTATCGAATGTAGCGCATGCCTTACTTTCTTCGAAAGTCTCGTATTTGAGTACCCCTGTCGGAGCGCGAGAGGCGTAACCGATATTAGAGGCGGCCACCGACTTGCTGCCGAGCGGCGGGGTGTATCAGGGGCATAAAACGCAACGACCGGGTGGGGTTTGTTAAGTGGAACGCCCAACCTCACGATTATGGGAGAGGTTGCGGAAGTGAGTTACGGTAGGTTTATGTCACTCCAAAGGCACAAATCGTGATCTCGGGGGGGTAAATCCGTCGCCTTGGTAAGCGTAGCACGCGTCCCCGGCACGTGTTCCGACCACGGGCGCATTCGCAACACCTCGAGTGCCACCGCAGGACAGAAAAAAAAAGCCTCCTGCCGAGCGGTCGTGGGAGTCGCTGCCCTTTCCAGCGGTTTCGGGACCGCTTTCCTGGATCTTATCGGGGCGATGAGCTCGAAGATGTCTCGAGCGATCTCGATTCGTTGCGGTCCGAACACCGGACGAGAGGATTCATCTATCTTCGAAATCGCTTTCTTTGCGATGGACCGTGGTTCCATAGGCAAATATTCAGGTGATTCGGAATGCCACTCGCGGGATGAGACTCGTCCCCTCGCCCTGGGGAATTTTAGGGCTCGTTTCCATCTTCCCGTGGCTCGGCCCTCGAAATTAACGTTAAAATGCTAGATTAATGACGTCCGTCGTGTTGGAGAGATGCATTTAAACGAGCGGAATGAGTTTTTATTCATTTATTCAGCAATCAGCAAAATGAAATATGAATTGATGAAACTCACGGTTAACCTGGGCGTCCTACTGTTTGAAATTGATCAAATGATAAATATGAAAGGTAAATGCGATAAATGAGCGCAAACACCCTTTCTTTGCTTTACGCAAGTACATCGGACCAAGTGTTTCTGACGGTTTTTAATCTTCGAATATTGTAGAATGAGTTGAGTACTTTTGATCAGTCTTCCCAAATGCCTTACCCTCCTGCCTAAACGTGCGAGCATACGCCCCATTTCCACGAGTCGATGCAGAACTTTAAAGGGGCCTTTCAACGCTGCCAGTACTTTTTTTTTTTTTTTTTTTACCCCAGCCATGCCTAATTGCCGCGATTTTTGCTCTCGAGTGAAGTGTTCACTGGGCCAAGGCAAGATTTGGGTTTCAGTGGTTGGGGATTTTCTGATCACGATTGTGACTTTATTGGATGTGCAGTTCGAATGATTTGCTCGAGATTCCGCGCAATCTTGGATTTTTTAACAAAGAAAGTGGCTTTCGCGTTCCGCGAACGGTAGAAAGGGGTAGTCACGCGGACGGGGAATTGGAGATCGCGAAGTGGGAAGCATCGGTCTCGCTTCACGTCGTTCCGTAGTTCTTGTCATTTCATCATTCATTTTTATATTCCCCTATTTTTTATGGACGACGCGTGTGCGTGTGGTAGGTCTCCGTAGAGGGAATTTCGACAGATGGGGAGGGAAAGGGAAAATAATCATTCTCCACGTGGTGGAAAAAGAGGAAGCGGAACTTTTCCTCCGCCTCCTCCTCTTCCTCCTGGTTCCTGCGCGGTGAGCGCATGTCGTCCAGAATGGGACGAGCAATCAAACGAAAAGACGTGTCATCGCGGCAAACTGGCTCGGAACGGGAACGAGAAAGGAGTCTCCCTCATTCATCTGGAATCCACTTTTCCTCATCTCCCGGCCATCCACGACGAAGATGCACCTGTCACCCGCGACAGCCAAACTTTCCCCCCCCCCCCCCCCCCCCCCCCCACC